TCCGAAAGGGCGTGAGTTCGAATCTCACCGCTGTCACTACTTTTTTCATAGCAACGGAATATTATTAAGGAAAGATGAGTCAGCAATTCTTATATAGCATTGCAAAAGATTTAATTATCAATCTTCTAAATCTTCTTAATATTATTAGCTAGTTGATTGACAATGAATTTGTTTCGTTGATTTTTTTTTCTATCATGAATAAAACTTTGATTTGATTGTTCTCAGAGGACACAAGAATCCTGCTTATGAATTAATTTCAGTTCGTATGAAACAGGCCATTGACAAACATTTAGATAGATAACTTTCCTTGTTATTAGGATAATTACGATATTAAAAAGTATTCCAATAATTTTTCTTTCAATTCCATGTATATTTTAAGATACTCATGATAACTTATCGGTATTTACACATTAGAATTATTAAAAGAAAAAAAAATGGTCTGAAATATTGTCATTATATATTAAATCTTACGAAAAGCTCCAATAATATATTCTACTCTATAAGTTAGACAATATCTTCACTCTAATATGTTACTGATTTCTGTATTAAAATTCTTTATTGTGACCTGTAAAAATTCAGCTACTCTAACGAAGTAATGGTTGTTGTTCGCTAGTGGTTTTAACTACAAGTAGGAATCTCTTCATATATTGTAGATCATTAGCTGATAATCAATTATTTTAATTATATGTATTTCATTATTAATATTAAAATGAAAACTAATTCTAACAATATGCTAATAAATTTCTACTATTCTTCATCATTAATATCTAAATAAGAGTTTCAGATTAATTATTCTAATTAATGTAGTAATTCATATATCTTATTGATATCGTATAATAAAATCCTTATGATTACTCTTATCAGATATACAGATTGAATTACGAAACTTTTTATCTTCTATTTGAATAATAAGTAGTAATAATAGATAAATCTGTTAACCTGTTGTTCATTTCTATCATTTATCACTTCTAAAAGAATTTTTCTTACAATATATTAGTACGAATACTGTTCTAAAAAATAATACATATTTTCATCTCACATTGTTATTCTACCTTTTTTTCTATTTTGTTTTTTGGTCGTTCTGTCTTATTTCGTAGAATTTTCTACAATCGTGTTTGATACATTTTATTCGAAAATAATTGTCACAATTACTTCTATTTCTCATCTCAATAATTAATTATGTTATTAGAATCGAATTGTGTACTTAAAATTGACTTTTCTTATGGCAATGTTAATATGTTTCACCGTTGTGTACAATTGTTTTTCGACAATAGATCGATACATGTGCATTGTATTTATTTAATAAAATGTGCTACCTAAGAAAATTAGTCAGAAAATATCATTCAAGCGTTACGCACACAAGTCTGAATCTATCATTTGTGTGAGTACATCACAATGCAAACAATAATGAAGTACAACGAGAAAAGTGAAGGTCGTGATAGTTTCTCTGCCTCCTCATTAGTTTTTAATCGGTTGCGATGGATTTATTTAATTGGATTTCTTCTGATAGGAGGTAATCATATGTATTATTTGAAGAAATTTTTTTTTTATTGTAACTAAACATATTTATTTATAAACAATATAGCTGGTAGTCATTTACATGGTTCTTATCGATATGCTCTCTTAGAAAGTTATGGATTAAGTCGTTCGAATATCGAATTAATTTATATTATCGGATATACATCTTCATTAGTTATTGGTACGTTTGCTGTTTCACTTACCGATTTATAGTAAGCTATTTTCATCTATATTATCTCTTGAAATAATAGAATTAATCATATATTATTATTTAGTGGACGTCGACTGGGATGTTTGCTTAGTAGTGTTTTTTTTATTTTGATGAGTATTTTAAAGGTAAATATTACTAGACAGTAGTGTTATTAATAAATAATTTGTTTGATTAAGAATTTTTCTTCGTTATGGATTTTAATCATATCCGGCATATTTTCGGGTATAGCTGATGTTTTTTATTTAACAGTATTTGATGCTTGGCTTCTACAAGAATACCGAGAAGTATATCATTCATAAAAAAGTCTATTATATTTGTTTATATTTATTTTCTTATAACAGCGTTCTCTTGATGATACATCACTAAAACGAATACTACGAGATGCTAGTCAGTATAATGTTCAATAAATCCAATTCTAATATCTATTTACTTTATTTTTATTACAGACGTTGGTTTAGCACTTGTTTCCATAGGAGCAGGTGTTTTTGCTCAATTTTTGGTAAAATGGAGTAACTATGCGTAAGTACCTATAGCTATATAATATGATTTAATTTTAAAATAAATGAAATCGTCATGTTTACTTTTAACCATGAAATAAAAACTATGGTCTTGAGTGAAATATATTTTTACAAAGT